AAAATTATGCATTTATTAACTGTTGTAAAACATAGAAAAGTATAAAGAAACAATAACCTATAGTTTCAATATATTCACTACTAAAGTTTACCACATTTCCTTCTAATTATTTTACTTTCAGATCATGTCTTTTATTATAGCTGTGTTTATAGAACATTATCAATTTTGTAGTTTTTTCACTTTTTATAACAGCAGTTTTTCATGTTACTAATAACACTGTAAAAATCACTGCTAGGGGCTATATCACAGAGCTTCGAGGAAACATTACATGGTTTACTTAGTTCATCTTCTTACTGCTGGACATTTAGATTATTTCTAATTCTTCTTCACTACTAAATTATGCTATTATGAAAAATTTATGCATAAGGCCAAAAAATTTTCAGAAGCAGAATTATTGTGTTAAAGGGCACATATATTTTAAGGTTCATGAATAGAACTGTTTTCCAAAAGTGATACACAAAATCTATACTCTCACTAACCTAATAGATTAAATTCATTAGCTATTTTAAATTATACTAAGTTCTCTAAAAACCAATTAAATGAAAAAACATTTCCCTCATCACTTGGTGGTTATTAACTGATAAACAGCAGAGAAAATACTTCATTTACTGATTAATAAATACCGTCTGGATAGACGGCTCACATTTGTGATAAACAAGTAACTTGAAACTTACAAGCATTTTAATTTTGTTCTGACTATTTAATTGTACCTATCAACTCACACTGCAACTTCCCTACCATATTTAACATTTTGGGCACAAATAATGTATCTCAAGATAATAAGAAATAGGTTTTCACTCACCACAAAATTGGATCATTAGCAAGTTCACTGAAGCGTTTACACACACAAGCTGCTCTACAAAGATCCTGTTCCAGCAAATAAGAGAAGATTTTTAGAACTACTTCATCTGGTAGTTTCTCCTGAAGATACTGTTCAGCAGGTGCTGCTACAAAAAGATTAACAAACAAAATATAAACTATTTATCATGTTAGCAATGACCTTTTCATTATTCAAAGAACATAACATTTAAATTATTTTTTGATGAGTATAAT